GTGGAGATATCTACTAGCGGCACGATTGCTCTGATCTCGGCACTGTCCTCTACATTGACTTCCTAGAGCCTGGCGGCCCGCACTGGCTGGCGGCCCGCACTGCCGCGAGCCCGCCACGGACTGGGAGAGAAAAAAAAAAAAAAGAAAAAAAAAGAAGAAAAAAAGAAAAAATAAAAAAAAAAAAAAAAAAAAAAAAAATAGAGAAAAAAAAAAAAAAGAAAAAAAAAAAAAAAGAAAAAGAAAAAAAATGCCCCGCCAGAATTTTTCGATTCCCGTTGCTTCTGGTCCATACAGAGTCTTCGCACTGGCGCCGAACACGATCTCCTCTGTGAATCCCATGAAAGACAAGAACGTCGCTGTAGACTGGCGGTCGGTACTCCAATGCTAGGCATGCATGCACTGGACAAGGGACCCCCATGCCAGAGTCACTCTGCTGGCGGCATGGGATTGGGGTGGAGATATCTACTAGCGGCACGATTGCTCTGATTCGGCACTGTCTCTACATTGACTTCTATTCTGCGCACCTGGAGGAGCGTTAAGCACTAACTCTTGGATGAGGGGAGGGGGGGAAAGGGGGAGAGGGGAGGGCGGCGGTGTGGATGATGAGCGTGACGTCGGTGATGATGACGATGATTTCCTCGCAAGCCGAGCCGATACCTGCCGAGCCAAACGTTGATGTGCTTCGCGCCTCTAAGCCGCGTTGCAGCTGCATAAGTACTCTCAAACCGACTGCGCTCTCGAGATCTGCAAACCTTCAGTCGATCTCAACGGGCGGCTGGGTGTCAGGGAACTCCTCAGGGCCAGGAAAATCATCGTGCGGCAACGTGTCAGGAAACTCTACGGGCGGCAGCGTGTCGGGGCAGTCACTCCCGACACTCAGAGAACCACGGAGCTCAGGCACCGTATGCTCGTTGAGATTCGGCTCCCTCGGGTTGGGGATCGGATCGCTGGCGTTCCTCTTGAGGCCGCGGGAGGGCTTCATCATGTTGCCGACGAGGGGGTGCAGCTCAGCGCAACGATCCTTCAGCGCGGCGTGCTCCTTCAGGCCAGCCTCCGCATTTGAAACCTCAGGAGCGTTCAGAGAACTCTCCAACGACGATAGACAAATCGTAGCATCCATCGTGAACTGCTGGATGCCCTCCCTCAGCGCCTCCGTGTGTTTCCCCTCCTTCACGACTGTCACCCACGAAGCAGCCACGACCAGCATATTGTTAAGATCGTGGATCGCATCTGCAACCGAGCTGACAGTCGCCATACTGTCAGTGCCCTGCTCCGAATGCATGGGACACGCGAGCGGCAAGGCAACTGATATTGGTTGAGCAGAGACGGCGGCGGCAGCGATTGAAATAGTGAGATGACAATGGGAGTTCCTCCCTCGAAACTTTGACGGCAAACCTGTTGTTACTTCGTTGGCGTCGGCGAAATCATTGGTGCAGTGATGGCGATGACGGTGATGATGTTGATGCTGATGTTGGTTGATCTGCCGATCCTTCCAATGATGAAGGCCCCAGAAGATCCTCTCTAGGCCCGCCCTGTAGGGATCATATGTAGAATAATTTAACCGCCGTCATTGCACCCCCGAGTGGCACCATTGAATGTTGTTGCGCTACATGTTTCTCGCTTGCCATGTTTTGCACCTAGCGATCGTTTCTGGATAAGGCTGGTAGGCTGGGACCCATCCTAATGTTGCGTGCTGCGTGTTCGTTTCAAAGACTACACTGTGAATATGTACACACCCCTAACTCTCTCCTGTATTTGTTTGGCAGTGGCACGGGTACTTTGTGCATGCGAATACGTGCTCATCTGCAATTTCACCTAGTATTGGCCATGATGTTGTTTAACGAGCTTTGTGCATGACCTGAACGTACAACGTCGATCCTCACTCTTAATGCTATGCTGATGCTATGTTATGTTCGCTATGCTATGCTTTGTTATGTTTGGAAGCAATGCTGATGCTATGTTCGCTGATGGCCCCGCCGAGGCAGCGATCCCGAATCTGCCGCTGCTGCGGCGTCCAAAATTGCACTGTAGCGCAGTGCCTAGCGCCCTCGACTGCTGACAGCCGATGGGACGCATTGGGAACGAGAAACTCTGCAGCGACAGAAGCGAGGCACAGACAGAGAGCAGAAGGAAGATCGCGAGTGCACGCGCATACACAAGACAGAGTAGCAGGTGAGCTCTACCTGCGAGCCTGCGGCAACTCCAAGAGTTAGTCTTTAACGCCTCTCCTCCTCCCCCTCCTCCTCCTCCTCCTCCTCCTCCTCCTCCTCCTCCTCCTCCTCCTCCTCCTCCTCCTCCTCCTCTTCGTCCTCCTCCCCCCACCCCCTCCTCCTCCTCCTCCTCCTCCTCCTCCTCCTTCTCCCCCTCCTCCTCCTCCTCCTCCTCCTCCTCCTCCTCTTTCTCCCCCCTCCCCCTCCCCCGAAAGAAGCCTTGAACGCCACTCACTCGTAGGCGGCATGCTGCCCAGCCTCGCGCTCTTCACGAAGCTGCTTGACATTCGCGCAAGCTGCAACGCTCGCCCGCTTCTTGGCAACAGCAGCGCACGAACCGCTGCTCTTGCACTCCTTCACGATCCTGTGATAGACCTTGCTGTGCTCCCTCTTGAGGAAGCTCTGCCACGACTGCTTGTCGTCCGTCTTCTTGGCCTTGGGACCCTTCATCACTTTCATGGTTTTCATCGGGGGCTTCTTGCTGTTCTTGCCCTTCGTGTTTTTCTTGGCCTTGTGGGACTCCTTGATGCTGGCGTTCAATTTCGCCCAGGCCGACGGGCAGAGAGGCGTGCATGAAGAGGCTGGCTGCGTTTGCGCCTCTAAGGCCCTGATGTGAGCGCCTGGACTGGTGTCGACCGTCTTGCTAGTGAGCCTGCGCCTCTGGCCGCCGCGAAGAAGCCTTTGCAACTCAGGAATCTCAGAGCTAAAGAGCTCATCGTGGTCGTAGGGCTCTGGGCTGGACATGACGCTGACGAGAGGCGGCGGCTCCCTGCAGGGTGGCTCCACGATCTCGACCTGGAGGTTGCAATGATCGCATTTGCATTCGAAATTGGACACCACCCGAGATTCCCTGAACCCCACCCCCTCGAGGGGGGTGGGGTTAAGGGAATCTCGGGTGTCGTCCAATTTCGAACAAAAGCTTTCATCGCAGCTGGCCTCAGAGAGCCCGTCGTGCGCATCCTCAGCGGGTGCATCATCATCAAACTCGGCATCGAGAATGGCGGGGGTGGGCCCACCGCGAACTTCATCACTACGTTTACGTTCTCCTGGAACGATCTTGTCGTAGAGCGTCTGGAAACGCGGCCTCCACTTGAAGGGCACAGGTCTCTCGTTAGTTTTCAAGGTCTTGATTTGGTGGCAAATCGCCCTCAGGGAGTATGTTATCTTATCCACATCTTGAGCAGAGATCGTTAGCTCGTGGGTGGCCGACCACGCTTGGACGGAAGCTCGAAGAGATACATGATGGATCATCAACCCCCTTGAGGCTGTCATCAGGCCAGAAACACAAGGAACAGCCTTTTGTGCTTTCGGCCAATCTGGGTGGTTCTTGAAGCTGACCTTGGGGTAGAATTTATCGACAGCGCCAACAATAGAGAATGGCAAAAGGTTGAGAGATGCCAATGCTTCCTCGGTGCCAACATCAACAGCCATCGTGGGAACTTCAAGTCGAAAAAAAGTGGAGTCCACAGATGCACATCGAGCCAAAACGGCTAAACACATGGCGAGACGCTCAAACATCATCCTTCTATGTCCCCATAAGAGGGGGGTGGGGAAGGGGAGGGGAGAGTGGACGAGGAGGATGAGGAAGAATTGGGAGAAGGAGGGGGAGGACGAGGAAGAGGAGGAAGAGCAGGAGGAGGATGACGAAGAGGAGGAGGGGGAGGAGGAGGAGGAGGAGGAGGAGGAGGAGGAGGAGGAGGAGGAGGAGGACAACGACGAAGAGGACGAGGAACAGGGGGGGAGGAGGGAGGTAAAAAACAAAAAGAAGAGGAGGAAATCGATTGGGATAGATGGTGGCTCCTTTCGCCAGAGGTCCAGGAGGGCGAGGCGGACCTCGCGAGGAGGAGGAGGAGCCGGAAGAGGAGAACAAGAGGATGAGGAGGACGAGGAGGAGGAGGAGGAGGAGGAGGAGGACGAGGCGGACGGAGGAGAAGCAGAGGAGGAGGAGGAGGAGGAGGAGGAGGAGGAGGAGGAGGAGGAGGACAGAGCAAAGTGAGAGCAACGTACAGAAGCGTTGGATATAATGGAGACGTAATCGGCCGACCAGACTGAAGCAGAGTCCTCCCGTGTTCAGTCCATTCTTTTCCAGCTCAGTTTACTGATTCGCTGTAGCTTGCTACAAGTTATCTTGTAATGGGGGTATTGTTGGGGGCCTTTGGGGGCTCGACGGGGGGGGGTCTTGTAGCCCAGGTGGCCTAACGAATGGCGCCTTCCTTCTTCCAGAACCTACCTACCCCCTCCGTTTTATCCTACCCCCCCCAGCCCTCCCCAACACCATGCAAATACCTTGCAACGCAAAGCGTGCAACAGAGGCGGCATTTCGTCGTAGTTACTTGCAGTGGTGCCGTGCATGTTCGGATTATGTACTTGTTACTGGTTAACTGCACAGTGAATTCTGTATCAATGTGTTCAGAAGAATCGGCATCCTTACCATCGAATCGTTGACGTTTCGCGTATCCCCGCCAACCCATCGTTATGATCGAAATATGACGCCATGTAACAAGCCCGCCAACACCACGAAATTCTATTCCCCCCATTACCCCCGCGTAGTTCGGGCAAACGATATATCGAAACGGTTTTCGTTGATTTTGGGACCAGGGTTCTGTTTTATTCCGAACATGAGTGCTTTTGAATGTTTCCTGAAATACATGGCTCGGGGGATCCTCTGGGTAGAGGGACAAGCCCGACTTGAGACTGGCCGAACGCAACCGACCGCAACGCAGCCGAGCTCGACCAGACGGGCCCCGACACCGTCCGGCCGACCGGCGGGGGCCCCGGCGCCGGGCCCTCCTCAGCAGGAGCAGCCGAACGATGTCGACGTGTCCGGCGCGGCACGCCACGTGCCTCCGCCGAGGGCTGCCGCGGGAAGGGGGCGCCCAGGGCGGGCGGGAGGTGTCAGGAAGCAACTCCTGGGAAGTGAGGGCCGTGAAGCACTATCGCAGGAGGAGCCAGGTTCGCCGACAGTTCGGCCCAGGAGCAGGCCGGATGAAGTGGGTCAGCGCAGGATCCAGCGGAATGGAACAGGACCGTGCCGGACGGGGCCGGTGTTCCACAACGGATGTATTCCAGCGCCGATTCATAGCCCCGAATCATCAGGGGTAACTCGGGTCAGGGCTAACCTGGGTTCCTTTTTCGGGAACCCGCACCCGAGTTACCCCGGACCCGAGTTACCCCGGATAACTCGGGCGTCCAGAGCCCCGAATCATCAGGGGTAACTCGGGTCAGGGCTGACTCGGGTCCCTTTCTCGGGAACCCTGACCCGAGTTACCCCGGACCCGAGTTACCCCGGATAACTCGGGCGTCCAGAGCCCCGAATCATCAGGGGTAACTCGGGTCAGGGCTAACTCGGGTTCCTTGTTCGGGAACCCAAACCCGAGTTACCCCGGACCCGAGTTACCCCGGATAACTCGGGCGTCCAACCGATGAGTTGCACACACGTTGGGGCGGGTGCGGGCGTCGGCGGAGGGCCAGCCGAGACAACGGCGGCCCCCGCGGCCGCTGCTCATGCTTTGTTCTGCTGGGCCTCCCGGAGGCCTCCCGTCGCTGGGCCCAGATGCGCATCGGGAAGCCCCCTCCTCCTCCTCCTCCTCCCCCTCCTCCTCCCTCCTCCTCCTCCTCCTCCTCCTCCTCCTCCTCCTCCTCCTCCTCCTCCTCGGGGAGGGGCCGGGGACCGATGCCGAGTGCACCTGGGCCCCGCGAGAGGGGGCGAGCTCCACGCAGGTCGCACCACCCCCGGCCCTGGCTCCAGAGGCCCCCCCCTGGGCCCGTTGGCCGGTGTGCGGGGCGCCTCCCTGGCCGGAGCAGGCGCGGAGGTCTGTGCGCCAGTCCAGCGCCCAGCTTGCCGTCGCTCGGACGTCCATGTCCCCGTGCATTTTTCGGTGTCGCGCGTGCTTTTTGGGGGGGGGCTCGATGGTCCAGGATGCTCCTCGACGGCCCTCGCCGGGTAAAAATGCACACGTCCGAGCGATGCCGAGCCAGAGTGGGCCTGGCCAGGGCTGCAGCGGCGCCGTAGCGTCGGCGTCCCTCCGAGAGAGAGAGAGAGAGAGCCGCCGTGGCCTCGGCTGGCCCTGCCCCCGACGGAGGCGAGAGCGGCGCACGCGCTGCGAGGCGCCGGGGGCGGGCAAAGGGCGCCCAAGGCACGTCGGAGTGTCTGGCAGAAGGGCTGGCTCCGGATGGCTCCAGAGGTCGGGCGCGGCACAGCTCGTGAGCGCGCGTACAGTCGGGGCGCTGACCTAAGGAACCCTCAATCAGGAACGAGGCTCCTTTTTTCCAGAGGTCAAGCTTCGATTTCCTGTCGAAAACATCAGGGAAGCCTGAGGCAAGCTGTGAAACACTTAAGGAACGCGGAGCTCCTCCCCAACGAAAAGGGTTCCTTCTTCAGGGCCCCGACTGTAGTGCGCCCCAGCGCAGCGGGGGTGGACGGGGGCAGGGGAGGAGGAGGACGAGAGAAAAGTCGGACGAGAGGAGGAACATGTGCAGGAGGAGAGAAGAGACGGAGAACGAAACGACAGGAGGAGGAGGAGGAGGAACCAGAGGAAACGCAGGAGAGGAGGAGGAGGAGGAGGAGGAGGAGGAGGAGGAGGAGGAGGAGAAGGACCAATGTAAAACCAAGACGCATCAACGATTCTGCAGCATACGCTCACCCAAAGTTCCTTCTTCACAATTACTTACAGCAATTATATTCATTGCTGGATGTGGCCAGAAAGAAAATAAAAGCTGGAAATCCTCAAACCTGGTGCGTCCTGACAATCCGAACCATGCCCAAACGCAACTCCTGAGACTTCAACACCGCGAAACAACATCAATCCTACGTCCTGTCAACCCTACATCGCAACAGCACACGACTCCTAGAATTTCACAACACTTTGGAAAAAAGGAACCGCCCGCGGTCCTGCACACGGCTGCAAGCTGCTCATACGAATGCGCGCGGCGCAAAGGCGGGGGACCACATTTTGAAAACGGCCCGCCCTCAATCGGTGAAACTGTTGCGAGAATGTGCAACGAATGCGCGCGGCGTTGAAGCGAGAAACGCGTTTTGAAAATGGCCCGCCCCCCATCCATGCAAACGTTGCAACCTTCAAGCTTCAGGATCTCGTCTGCACGCATGAATGACTCCGGGCACGAGCGACCCCTGGCGCGCAGCAATTCTGGGGCCGCAAGGGGGGGCCAAGCATAAGCGCGCAAGACGCCACTGCCGCCTCGCGTTCGGCGATCGATGGACCCCATTGGGTCCGCACCAGAGGTCACTCCAACAAAACGTCACGCTTACGTCGACTCGAGGATCACAGGAGGTGATGCACTCACAAGCGAAGCGCCTGGACCGCCCAATTGACGCATCTGGGGGTGCGACATGGAGGAAAAGGATGGAGGGGGAGGAGGGGGAGGGGAGAAAAGGGAGGGGAGGAGGCGGACCTAAAATTGCGGGGCCTGGTGGTAACGAGAAGGATGGCACGGCGGCACCAAACAACTGTAAACTAGGGCCGTTTCCTTCTGCAGTGTGCACTTGCACGCGCTGGCGCTGAGCCTGAAGCTCTGGAGCGCGCTGGGAGCGTTCTGGAATACTCTGGAACGGATATGCCCTGTCGTTCTACGGACCCGGCGCCCTCTCTGCCAGACTCTCGGCACAGCAGCACAGCCGATGCAGGCGGCTGCATCCCTGTCTGGCCGAAGCGGGAGCCCCCCTGCCAAAATCAGGCACGGAGAAGATGGATGCTGCCCTCGTCCTCGCCGCCCCGCCCCGTGGCTGTGGCTGTGACCCCGCGCACGTGCGGTCAGCATCATGTTCTGCACATGTTCTGCGCCGATGCGCCGTCTTGGCGCGGCTTCGTCGTCCTAGCCCCGTCCGACAAAGTCGGCGGCGAACGAGGGAGGAGGGAATGAGAAGGAGAAGGCCTTCTCAGAAGGCGGCGGGACTTCTCAGAATCCCCTCGCGCCTTCTGAGAAGTTATTGTCTGCGTTCGGGGAAGGCTTAAACAAATTCTCAGAAGGCCAGGGGAATTCCGAGCCTTCTGGGAAGGCCTTCTCCTTCTCACTTCCCCACCTTGCTCACCGCCGGCAAAAGCCACTTCCGCGAAGGGTCACACCCTTTGAGCAGGGGCCGACCGTCCCGGCATTCCTATAGGCCTACCACGACACGTTCTTAGAACCCAAGAGTGTTCCAATAACAAAGACAATGTTGTTAAAACATAAGCCCGATGTGTCAAAACAAGACAGACTCGGCCAGAAATGTGCTAAGAACTCTTCGTGCAGACCACAAGAGGTTCTTTGAACATTCTCTGGTGGCCCTAATAGGCGAGACAGGACGCTTCGCCACTGCTTGACCAAGAGCGCACGCAGTGGAGGGTCCCTGCCGCCGCCTTCCATGCCCCACGAGAGGGAACCCCGACCCTCGGGGCGCGGCGTCGACGCACGACCGCCCACGAACGAGGTGGGGGGCAGCAGGGGCGGGGGACGGACACCTCGACGAGGCGGATCGGGTCGGACGCAGAGGGGGGCGACAACGATGCCCGCGTGCATCGGACGTTTCGGGAGCGGCCAAGAGGGGGGTGTCCAAGAGGGGGGGGTGCAAATCATGACCGGCGGCATGTGCGCGGCCCAGCGGGGGGGCCGGGGACGTAATGAAATAAGGAGAGGCGCCATGAAATCAGGGGAAATATCATGGCCCACGCCATGATATCCCCCCCCCTAGTCATCACCCCCCCCTTTTTTCCGCCCCCGAACGTTCGCCGAGCCGGCACGCTTCGCCACTACCTGAAGGGCCACACCCTGCGCGTCGTCGGCCGGCGGGCTGCGCTCCCGGGCCGGGCGGAGGCGCAAGGCGGTGCCCTTGGGCTGCTGCTCCCCGGGCACCACGGGCTGCGCCTGGCCGGGGAGGCGGCGGCTCCGAGCGCGCCCAGGCCTCGGGCGCCGCAGTGGCGGGCCCGCGCTGGCAGGGGCAGGCATGGGCAGGGCAGGCAAAGGAGAGGGTCCTCTCTTCCTCTCTTCCTCTCTTCCTCCTCCCTCCTCCCTCCTCCCTCCTCCCTCTCCTCCTCCTCCTCCTCCTCCTCCCTCCCTCCCTCCCTCCCTCCCTCCCCCTCCCTCCCCCTCCCTCCCTCCCCTCCCTCCTCTCCCCCTCCCTCCTCCCTCCCTCCTCCCTCCTCCTCCCCTCCTCCCTCCTCCCTCTCCCTCCCTCCCCCTCCTCCTCCTCCCTCCTCCTTCTCCTCCTTCTCCTCCTTCCTCCTCCTTCTCCTCCATCTCCTCCGTCTCTCCTTCTCCTCCTTCTCCTCCTTCTCCTTCTCCTCCTTCTCTCCTTTCCCTTCCCTCCTCCTCCTCCTCCTCCTCCTCCTCATCCTCCTCCTCCTCCTGCCTCTCCTCCCTCCACCCTCCCTCCTCCCGGCTGCCTGCGCCCTCCTCCCTTCTCCTTCCTCCCTGTTCCCTGCTCCCTGCTCCCTCCTTGTCCCTCCTCCACCAGGGTCCCAACGAAGGGTGTCGCAGGCCGCGGCGGGCCCTGCGAGCGGGAGAACGACGGGGAGAAAGGAGGGGCAGGACAAGGGAGGAGGAGGGCCCCGAGAGCGTGTGTATGGTTGTATGTCGTGCGCACGTTTTATATATATATAGATATATATGTATATATATATATAAACTATATATATATATGTATAGATGTATATATGTATATGTATATACATATGTCTGAGATACACAAGAAATCAAAAGTGCCAAAACAGAGGAGGAAGACAAGCGTTGGGAAGAGAGCACCGCGAGCAGCTCCGCCACGTCCCCGTCTGGGTCCTTCCTCTCCTGCGCGCGCCGGCACGGGCGGGGGGGGGGGGCGGGCGAGACGCGGCGTGCCCCCTCGCGGGAGGTGCCTCCGCGACGACGATTGCCAGCCTGGAACATATCCCCACCGGTGCGACGGAACTCCTCGTCCTAGTCCTCCTCCTCGTCCTCCTTCTCCTCCTCCTCCTCCTCCTCCTCCTCCTCCTCCTCGCCGTTCTGGCTCAAGCATTGTTCCTGAGCCTGCAACGGCATCCATTCAGAACGGCATCCTGCTGTTGCGAATCTTTCCTGGCACGGTTTCCCAGCCTGGAGCAGATCCCTATCCCTATGCTGGGCACCTCCTCGTCACGATGCCAATCTCAGGGATCCCCTTATTAGATTTGAGGGCGAGCCCCTGAGATTGTCATCGCCTTCTGGCGTGTCAATCTTAGGGATAGGGATACGTTCGAGGCTGGTAAGATGAGGAAGGGGAAGGAAACCTCCGCCGGCCGTTCGGGGCGATGCGGGCCGCCCGGGAGAGAGCTCTCGGCGCGGCGCCGCCGCTGGAGGGCGCCCCGAGGCTGCAAGACCGCTTGGAGTGGACGAACACGTTTTGAACCTCGAACCTCGGGCCTCGGAGGAGGAGGAGGAGGGGGAGGAGGAGGAGGAGGAGGAGGAGGAGGAGGAGCACAGCGGAAGGAAAAACACTGCGGACCGTGCGGAATTTTATCATCGGGGGGCCGTCGCCGGGTCTGCCGGTGACGCATGGCCGCCTCCGGCTCGGTGTTGCCTACCCCGAGCGGGCCCCCAGCAACAAGTCCTCCCTCGGTTGCGGGCAGAGGAGGAGGAGGAGGAGGAGGAGGAGGAGGAGGAGGACGAAGAAGCCAGATGATTACGCAGGAGGTGGTGGGCGAGAAAGATGGGCAAAGAGAACGCGGCTCGAACAGAAACTCTCGGAGGTCCGCGAGGACTTCTCAGCTCGGCGCTGGAGCCTCCTTCCCTGGCGCGGTCTCTCCTCATCGTGCTGTCTCTGGTCTTATCCATGCCCCGCAGGGTGAGGGGTTCCAGTTTTGTTCCCTATACCTCTGGGACTCTGAAGGGCTCTCTGATAGGAACCTTGATAGTTCGTCGGCTGCAGGGGCTCTAGGGGCCACGTGGGAGGCCTGTCATATGCGGAGGGGACTAGAACATGGAACCTACTGCGCCGGACTCCGCGTCCTTCATCTCTAAGCTTGTCGGTCAGCTGGTCACCACTGGGGGCCCCTACCAGTCACATGGGCGCTCCTAGAGAATACGGTCATTTAGTCTGTTCGGCTGGTGCGGCAAGCACGCTCGGCAGATACAAACAAATCATGGATTTGTTTCCTGCACTCCCGTGCTGCTCGACTAGTTCGCTGGACTGGCGTAGATGTCGTACTTGACGCTTCGCCGCCCTCCCGAGCTGCCAGCGGCTGCGCCGTTCGGCCCGCTTCTCGAGACGCACGACTTCGAGCGTGTTCGGAGGAAGGACGATGATTGCACTGATAGGGCATGGTGAAGGGACGGAACTCAAGTTAACGCATGGCACCCGGGCCAACCTCCGCGAGGAGGAGCTGTCCAGGGCCTTTAGAAAAGAATTGCCAGCATGGGGACCTCGGAGCAAGGGGCCCGTTCACCATTGGAGACCTCTCTTGGGCAAGGATTTGGGCTGTTCTAAACACCCTCCCCTACACGCCATGCGGTGGTTCCACGCCAACCTTATGAAGTTCTAGGTTACGCAGAAAGCATCTATACACCACCACCGTGCCAGGCCAGGGCCATCCTGGGCCCTGGTCTGGCACGGTGGTGGTGTATAGATGCCTTCGTCGGATAGGCTCGTTTTGCGAGCGACCGCAGCTGCCCTCAGGATCTCCGAGCTGCGGCTGCGAGTTCAGCGACCACTCCCGCCCAGGGTTCGGGATGTTCCTGTCCCCTCCCCTGAGCTCTGTCGTCTTTTAGCAGGCGCCTCCAAGCTACATAGGACCGGACTGGTTGGACGGCTCCCTCTCGCACTGAGTCTGCGCGGACCGCGCTCACACTTTTGGCAGTGCAGTCTTTGAAGCTCCAGCCAGCTGCGTGGCACATTACGGTGGTCAAGCACGCGCAAGACTGGCACTCCTGGCCGCTGGAGAACATCGAGAGCGGGGGTCGTCGAGCTCACGCTTTTTCCAAAGACCCCGAAGCGTTCAAACCATCCGCGACACTGACACTGAGTTCCAAGGGATGTGCATTGCTTCGGATCCCCTGGCCCTCTTTCGGGGTGATGCCTTGAGGTTTCGAGCCCCTGGGAGACCCAGGCCGCGCCCCCCAGGCTTCCCAGTGCCATGCCGGATCATGAACCGAAAATTCCGATTTGTACTCTCCGACAGGTTTTGGAAACGTGTTCCCACAGTTGGGTCTGGACGGATTCCACCTGAGGCATTTTTGAGGTTTTATCGAACGGGGCTCTGGAAACCCTCTCGGGCCTCCAGGGGCTCATGGAGTTCATGGGCATCCTGCACTCCCCCCCTGGCTCGCCGCCGACTAAAAGGAGCCTGAAGGAGGCCCTGAGTAAAACTTACCGTGGGGGCGTATGTTGAGACCAAGTTTGGGTCTTCAGCTCTCTTGGGCTAACTATCTGAGGCGGCTAGGGTCAGGGCAGGGTGAGGACAGATGGGGCGCTGAACGCGCTCGACGGCCTCTGACTTCTGCATTCGGCCCGAGAGCGCCCCAGAAGACTCCACGGGGTTCAGTGGGGCACAGGGAGGATGACAGCGATGGAGTAAGGAAAAGAGCAGGAGAGCCAACAATCGAATCGATAAGTCGGATCGGCGACCGAAATGAATCGGATCGGCGGAAATCGGCAGCCGAGTCGGGAAAAGTCGCATCGGCGGAAACCAGGCCAGTATGCCTCCAAAATGAGACATCGGAGCTCCCATCGGAGTCCTGGGTCGGAGCGCACCGGAAGCGACAGCCGTCGAAGTCGAAGCGAGTCGAACGGGAGGGATCCACACGAGTCCTGCGCGGGGGCGGGGAAGCGAGGAGGGCGGCGGAGCAGCGGGGGAGAGGAGGAGGAGGAGGAGAAGGAGGAGGAGGAGGAGGAGGAGGAGGAGGAGGAGGAGGGGGAGGAGGAGGAGGGGAGGAGGAGGAGGAGGAGGGGGAGGGGGAGGAGAGGGGAGGAGGAGGGGGGGGGGAGGAGGAGGAGGAGGAGGAGGAGGAGGAGGAGGTGGAGGTGGAGGAGGGCTGGGGCGCGCCGGCAGCCACTGCCCCGGGCGCCGGCGCGGGCGGGCGTCGAAGACGGGCGTGCCTCGGCCTGCTGCTGCGCGCGCCGCTCCTCCTCTTCCTCCCCCCCCGCTGCTCGCCACCCTCCTCCTCCTCTCCTCCTCCTCCTCCTCCTCCTCTCCTCCTCCCCTCCTCCTCCTCCTCCTCCTCCTCCTCCTCTCCTCCCTCCTCCTCTCCTCCTCCTCCTCCCTCCTCCTCCTCCTCCTCCAGGACACACAAATAAATACACACAGATAAAAATATTCCCCATATTTTCCCATATCTTCTGGGTTTTTGCCTTCCCCCCCACTTCCCATGTCTTCCAGATTGTCCTGGGGATCGGCGATGAATTGTGTCTGTGTGCTTTTCCCCTCCTGATCCACCTCCTCCTCCTCGCCCTCGCTCTGGCGCCCCTTCCGGGTGCAGCTGTCGGCTCCGTGCGCGTGCTGTCTTGTTCGCAGGAGGACCCGAGGAGGTGCTTCTCGACGGCCCCACGCCGACACCAGACGCACACCTCCGAGCGCCGCCAGGCCTCCCCCCCGCCCTCGCCCTGCGGCTCCTCGTCCAGGGCGTGCGCCAGCACGTCGGACCTGGCGTTGGTGGCCGCCCAGATGAGCACCTCCCGCGAGGGCCCGCTGGAGCCCGACCGCCCGCTGGCGGGGAGGGGCGGCGAGGACCGGGGAGGGGCGGCGAGGACCGAGGGACGACCCTGAAAGCAGGCTGGGCGTCGCTTCTCGGGCCGGGCGACAGGGGGGGACAGCAAAGGGGGGGGCTCCGAAATCAGCGCACGTGGCTGATCTTGCGGGCGCCCCCCGGCGCCGGGAGGCGCCCATGTGTCGAGGAAGGGGCCCCTTGGTCGGGCGCCGAAACCAGCTGCATGCACCAGATTTCGCAACCCTCGGCTGTGGACAAACCTCCCTTTAGCAAACCTCCCGTTAGTGAAAACGGCCTGGGACCGAAACCGACGGACCTGGACCCGCAAGAATGACGGCCGCGACGCCCTCCCGCGAACCGAAAACGGCCCATTCCCTAATCGACGTCTCAGGGTAGGAGGTCTGTCCACCTCCGAAACCCCCCCTTGCCCAATCCCCCCCTGTTCGTCCGGCCCGAAGGCTTCGCGGAAAGGGCGGTGGCTGCGGGGCGAACAAAGAGGTGTACCGCTCTCGGGCCGCACAGGCCCCCGTGTGGGCCTCGAGGGGCCCCTTTTTCCTGCAGCCCGCGCGGCCCCCCTCATCGCCCCCCCCAAGTACCAGCCTCGAACTTATCCCTATCCCTAAGATTGACACGCCAAAAGGCGATGACAATATTAGAGATGCGCTCTCAAAAAATAAGGGAATCCCTGAGATTGGCATCGTGATGAGGAGATGCCCGGCATAGGGATAGGGATATGTTCCAGGCTGGTAACCCAATACGCCACGCCCGATTTGGGCGTTGCAGTAGGCTCCGGTCGTTATCTCTTTCCGCGGTGGCGCATGTTTGTCGACGCGTCGAATATCCAGGGACGGCGAGAGCCGACTCGGGGAAGGCTGCACATTCGATACGGGCCCTTCGTTACCCATCGTCCTTCGGCAAACTCCAGCGGTGGTCGGCGGTCTTCCGGCGGTCTTCGGCGGGGACGCCGGCGACCACGATTCGGGAGAGGCCAGAGTCGAAGTGCGCGAGCGGGGCAGGGGAGCAGGAGCCCCCTTTTGACGACGGCCGCGAAAGGCCCCACCGAGGTGCCAAAACGCAGGGCAGCCCAAAGGATAGAGCCCAAGCACGAGGCACTCGAGCGGACCCCTCCAAGGCCAGGCTTGGTCCTGCCCCGCGCGCCAGCTGTGCGTGTCTTCGGCCCTGGGCCCCTCGTGCACCGTGGACCCTCGGCGGCCTTCTCGGCGGTGGTCGCCGCTCTCCGGGCGGCTCTCCGGCGGTCTTCTGCCGACCCAGCGGCGGCCCGCTGGCTGGCCGCCAACGCGGACGCTGGAGTGACTACCTACCAGACCCCCCCAACCCAACCCGAAGACCCGAATTTCGGGTTGGGGGGGGGGTACGGGCTTCATATGTGGTTTTTCCTATGTTCCCCGACCCCCCCCCCCAACTGGAAATGGAGGGCAAGTCGGGACCTTCGGGTTGGGTTGGGGTGGTTTGGCGGACGGTGGTGGAGGGCAGCGCCTCACACGGTGCTCACGCTTTGAACACCTGAGGGGTGCAGGGGGGAGAAGTGCGCACGCTGGTGGCGCGCACAAAGGGGTATGGGGGAGGGGGGAAGGCTTCGTAGAGACAGGCTGCTTCTCAGAAGGCGGCTATAAACGAGGCCCGCGCCTTCTAAGAAACAAGGGCGCTTCAATGCTTCAAATGAGTTGTCCCACCTCCTCCTACCCGCTTTTGCGCGTGGCCGTCGCACCCCCCGTGGCACGGGCCAGGGAGGCACACGCACCGACCCTGCGCTCAGGACCCGGGGTGGCGACGCGCATGCTCGAGGCCGCGGCTTCTGTTTCGTGACGACGCACGCGGCGGGCTCCTCGTCATGTCACGAGCCGCGCCGGTGCAGCCCGGGAATAATATGTTTTTGGGCCTTCCCGGACGGCGCTGGCGCGAATCGTGACCTGACGGGCCCTTCCACCCCTCCCCCCAGTCACGGAGGGTGCGCCGCTGGATGGTTAGGACCCCCCCGCCCTTCCCCGATCCGTCGTCGGGGAACCCCCCCCTCCCCCCCTTCCCCGATCCGTCGTCGGGGACCCCCTCCCCCCCCTCCCCCCTTTCCCCGACCTGTCGACGCCCCCCCCCCCTTTCAAAAGAAGGGGGTGGGGGGTCCGACCCCCCCCCCCCTTCCCCCCCTTTCGCCACGCCGCCCTGACTCCGGAACCCGACCCCCGCCACCCCTACCCCTAGTCCTCACCCTTACCCAAACCTCTTAATCCTAACCCAACCACAAACCCCAGCCCCAAAAAGTACTCACTAGTCATTACTCACTACCCACAACTGACTACGCGCTATTCGCTACTCACTTCTCACTACCCCCCCCTCACTACTCACTATCCACTACTCACTACCCACCACCCACTACTCGTTGCTCACTACTCCCTACTCACTACTCCCTCCTCCCTACTCACTACTCACTACCCACTCCTCACTACCCCCTACTCAATACTCACCGTTTACGAAGCACTACTCACTACTCCCTACTCACTAATCACAACACATTACCCACTACCCACTCTCCACTACTCACTACTCAAAACTAACTACTCATTGCCCACAAATCAATACTACCTACCCATTACTCGCTATTCGCTACCCACTATTCCCTACACCATACTGACTACACAGTGTACTCACTACTCGCTACTCCCATACTCGCTATTCAATACTCACTACTCACTCCCCGCTACTCACTATTCACTACTCACTACTTACTACTCCCTACTCAGTAGTCACAACAGAGTCTCTAGTCTCTAGACACACCTCACTAGTCACTGGTCACTAGTCACTACTCACTGCCCACTACCCACGACTCACCAATCGCTACTCACTACCCACTATTCGCTACCCACTTCTTAGCACTCACTGCTCACTACTCCCTACTCCCTATTCCGTACTCGCTACTGACTACTCGCTACTCCCTACTCGTTACTCACTAATCACAACCCACTACTCACTAGTGACTACCCTCTACTCACTACCCCCTACTCGCTACTCCCTACTCGCTACTCACTACTCACTACCCACTGCTACTACCCACTATTCACTACTCATCAAAATCAGTACTCACTACGCACTACGTACTACACAATACTCGCGACTCACTACTCACTACTCACTACTCGCTACTCACTACTCACTGCTCATTACTCACTTCTCGCCACTCACTACTCACTTATCAGTACACACTACTCATTACCCACTACTCACTATTCGCCACCCACTACTCACTACGCACTAACCCACTACCCACTAGTCATTACTCCATAACCCCGACTCAGTACTCACTACTCGCTACTCGCTACTCACCTCACTACTCACTACTCACTACTCGCCACTCACTCCTCACTTATCACTATTCACTACTCACTACTCACTGCTCACTACTCTCCACTCACTACTCACTACTCAATACTCACTACTCACTACGCACTACGCCCTACCCACTACTCACTACTCACTAATCACTAGTTGCCACCCACTACTCACTACGCACTAGCTCACTACCCGCTACTCATTACTCCCTAATCCCTACTCAGTACTCACTACTCGCTACTCGCTACTCACCTCACTACTCACTACTCACTACTCGCCACTCACTACTCACTTATCAGTACACACTACTTACTACTTACTATCCACTACTCACTACTCTCTACTCCCTAGTCGCACTAACCCACTACTCACGACTCACCACCCCCTACTCCCAACTCCGTTCTCCCTATACAGGGGGGGGGGGTCCGACCCCCCCCGCCCCTTTCCAATGCCAAGGGAGAGGGAGGGGGGGTGTCTGGACCCCCCCCCCGCCCCTTCCCCTTCAAGGGAGGGGAAGGGGGGGGGTTGGCACCCCCCCCCTTTCTCCCCCCCTTTAAGGAAGGGAGGGGGGGGGGGTCCGGACCCCCATCCCCCGTTGAAGGGGGGACGGAGGGGGGTTCTGGACCCCCCCCCCCCTTAGTGCATTCAGGGAGATCCACTGGCGCGGTTTTTTCCAGTCACGCCCGTCATCGCCACCGACACCACCACTATGCCTCGCGTCCGCTTGGTCGCGTGAGCGGACACGCCACGCGCGCGCAAGAGGCCGGCGGCCGACACGCCGAACACGGTCCAAGGAAAACGCAAGTCATGCCGAAAGCGAACCTGCACAAGAGGGAGGACAGCAGAGGGGGACGAAGAGAATATGATGATGAAAAAGGTGGTGGTGATGCTCATGATGACGATGCTGATGATGATAATGATGGCGCGAAACATGCACAATCGTTCCACGGATATTGTGTGAACGTCTACGTTCCTGCTGCAAGGGGCGGTCACGTTTTGCGCGGACTGCCAAATTGCGAGGAACGCCATCAGGATCACAAACACTTCTTTACACCAGTGAAACATTTGAAAGTTGCCAGATAATGATAAAATTGTTTGGCACACGCTGTCTCCAATACTGTTGAATTTACCTGCGATACGAGCGTACAATTCCTAGCAGACGCCGCCGGCAATAGCCATGAAAGAGGCCAAACGCATTCTGTCGGATTTGAACAGCCAAGCAAAATCAAGAAAACATAGCAACTTGCATAGGCCCTCGTATATGAAGTAGTTCCGTTTTCATACCGAACGATGTGAGAGACCTTGATTGGTTCAGGTACTTGAGCGTCGTGCTGGAATCCCCCAGCTGCCGTGTCAATTCGACGCAAAACTTGGTCATCGCATGTAATCAACCCTGCAAGATAAATCGCCTTTTCGTACACCTTTACGGATTTCGCCTGACGGGCCCGCAACGGTGTTGTTGATGGACACATGAAGTTGCAGCGTGTGTTGGTCGCAAGTTAGATCACAACCGCATGTCAATCCTTCACCCATTATTGTGGCAATCATCATTTGAAGGTATTCTGGGTTTCTTCAGGCAAGCAAGATGTTGTCGGCACAGAGGATGTCGCGCGAAACCAAAGATGTCGACTCCTGTTGTAGACGACCATCACCGAACGCATCTTGTTAGCACAACTGATTTGATGATGATATATTCAAGTACGGCGAAAGGGGGGACCCGCCCGCTGCTGCCTGTGAGGTGGCAAGGCCACGTGATCTAGAACAATGAA